TTTTTCGGAGGCCTGGGGCTGTTGACCTCTTGATTGAGGTCCAGCCCCGCTTAGACTGGGTGCATGTTGTGTTTCTTTTAATTTGTTGTGTCTTACTGTTTTAATCCTTTCTTAATATTTCTTATTTCTGTAAGCCGCCCGGAGTCCTCTGGGATTGGGCGGCCTATAAATTCAATAAATGGAAATGGAAATGCTTTCTGCTCAAAGAGAAGCTGGTAAGCATGAATAGGAGAGCTTTTGCGTAGTTCCGTTTGTACACCAGTTGTGACCTTTCCTAGATTACGATTCCCTGTGCTCATCTGGACTAGTACAATGCATTCTACATGGGGCTACTCCATTTGGAAGCTTCAACTGGTGCAAAGTGCAGTAGTGATAACAGTCTTTAGAGTCCCTATGATGGCCCATATTTCATCTCTGTTCCACTTCACTGGAACTGGTCTGCTTCCAAGTACCGTAAAACGGGATGTATTGATGTATTCTCATTGTGCTCTTTTTCATTGTTTATTTTATTGCTCTGTTATCTTGCTCTGTTTACCTTCTTTTCATTTCTCCCTTTTTATTGTTGCAAGCCCCACAGCAAGAAAGGCAGCAAATGAATTAAACAAACAATAATAATGAGAATATTTATCAGTGGTGGGATACAAATAATTTAATAACCAGTTCTCTGCCCTAATGACCAGCTGGGTAGGCGTGGTTCAGTGGTCATGTGACTGGGTGGATGTGGCCAACTCAATGTTACTCACGTCAATGGGCGCCTTAGCTGTTATAATGTAATAAGGGTTAACTAGAGAGGCAGTTTTTTTAAGCAGGGCAATAAAGATTAAGCTAGAAACAATACCAGAATGTTTCCCTTCCTACCTTCCTTACAGGATTAGCTCTGTAAAGTGGGGAAAAAAACAAAATGAGATTTCTTCCATCAACCGGTTCTCCCAACTGCTTAGAAAGTTAACAGCCAGTTCTCCTGAATAGGTATGGACTGGCTGAATCCCACCACTGATATTTATCATATATACATTAAAATGAATTGAGCATGTAGAATGATAACAGGGAGTAGACAATGTACTTTTTGGGAAAAAACATACTGCATGTTCACATATGAATTATAATTTGTAATTGTAAATGTATATTTATTATTCAGTCATTCAGCCACTTCTCATTCTATATGATTAGATGGACATTATTTTTCCAGGATGGTTTGTTAGTACTGGTGGTCATCAACGTACAAATGTTCACTTAATAATGGTTCCAAATTATGACAGCTTCAGAGAAAGTGATTTTCATGTGCCCCCGAAGTTACGATGCTCCCACAACCCCAGAAGTTACATGATCACAATTCAGGAGTTTGGCAACTGGTTCCCGTTTTACAACTAGTTGCAACCTTCCCAGCCAGTTTCTAACAAGCAATGTTACCGTAATTAGGGAAGCTGGATTTGCTTAACAATATTATTATCAGTGATAATTCTTGTACAAACAACCCAACAAATATAAATTGTCCTTTTAGTAATTTATTCCATAAGATTTAAGTATATCAGATTCCAATAACCAAAAACAGTAGAACTGACTTACCTAGATGAATTTGTTTAATATATTCAATCAGAGCAATTTTATTGTCATCCCAGAAATCTTGAATCTTATCTTCTGAGGGATAGTGACAACATGATAACTCCAATGTAATTTCAAAGCATTGTCCCCAAACATAATTATAATCCTGCATACTACCTAAAATAAAATGTTCAAGTACATCACTGAAAGGTCAGTCCAAAAATAAACAAGCATATTATTCTCCTGATCACTTCCATATTACTTCTCATCCATCAAAATGTGCTCTTGATCTGAAAGCAAGCACTTCTGCATCATGAATGAGTCTGGACAACACCAATACTGAACTTCTCTGCAGATGTCACCATCAGGTTTTGCAACTCCAAATAATTAATTATAATAATGCTAATTATGAATTTTATCACTGCTATTGTCTACTGCTACTGCTTCCACATAAGGATCCCCTGAGGAGATGAAAGCACAAATAACTGCCATGTACTGCTACTGTTAGTGGCGCAAACTATTCATTCTTTATAATTTGTGTCTCCTCCCTATTACACGATAGACAATGGGAACAGTGCGCTACTGCTCCTTTAGCCTTTTCATACCTCTTTTTGTTGGTGTAACATTACATAAGATCAGGCATACAAAATAACGTCAATGCCAAATATAATGCAAATAATGCAAATGCAAATAATGTTGAATACAATTTAGACGTTAATCTGAATAGGTGTTTTAGCCTGTGTATTTATTCAAACAAATGTACATTGAAACAAATCCAAAGAATTTAAGATGCATGAAACATCTTAACAATTCCCCACTCTTCCTTATTTCCATCTTTGGCCCCAAAAGTATCTAAATCCTGTCGCTATGTTTTCAGCATAAGATTGATCCATATTGTATTCCATATTAATCTCAACATTCACTACTGTGAGTTCTTCAAACTCTTTATGAATGACAAAGATCTTAAAATATATACAGTTTATACTACCAAAGAAACAGAAGAGGCACAAGGAAAGAATGGGAAATTGTACCTTTCACTATATACCAGTGATATCCATTCGTAATGCCATCTTTAAAGTAATTCGTATCATCACACACAATGTCTTTATGCATCATGCGATGGTTGTTAGAATATGTGCTTGCAAGATGAACAAAAACATCATCATCCACTGTTTTGCTAACACCATTTGCATCAATTGTAACTGTAGAAAGAAGGTGGTTGCAGTGAAATTCATATTAATGTTTAGTCAATTTAATGAATAAATATACAAATACAGGTAATATAAATCCTTTCCCAGGTCTTCCACAGACAATAGAATTTTCAGTTTTCTTCTACAAGGGCAGAAAAATGATTGTACTTAGGGACAGTGTCTTGAAAACAGCTGATGCCTCTTCAAATTTGAAATTTTTACAACAGTCGTAAATAAAAATGTTTGGAGGTATGAAATATGACATGATGCTATGGATCCTTGGATTTCAAAGTCCATTCCATTTCACACCCCAAGAATAGAACCACAAATATTTTGTGTCAACCATGAAGTTCAATTTTCAATAATCTGTTCGCCTTGTACAATTTGCCTTTGAGTGCTCTCATTTCTTCTTTTAGTTAAACTATCATATTCAGCATATTTATACTGATAACATCCAGATGTCATTTTCTATTCAGGCATGATCATCCTTTTTCTGTTGCCTTCCTAGTTGGATTTGCAGTTGAGTCTGTTTCTCACAACCTTAAACTAGATATGAAGACCAAACTTGTCTTTTATCTTGATCATTCTTCTCCCATTTCTTTTGCTTTTCAGGACTGTCAGCTGTAGTGTTACCAATGGTGCAAGATTTTGGCATTCTTATGAAGGAGAAATTTTATGTGAAACTTTGATTGATAAAGCCACAAGAACCTGCAATCTTTATCTCCTGAATGCCCAGAGAATTTATCCATTTCTTACTGTTGAAAAGGTCATACAGTTCATGCCTTTGTAGTGTCTCATTTGAACTACTGTAATGGTTTGTTGGAGTGCTTTCCTAACTTTGCTCTCCATTCTTTATCTGAATCTAGAACAATACAATCCATTATCCTGGGATGTTTTCTGATCTTCCTTACTTTTTTCCATCGATCTCTCCACTGATTGGATCTTTAGGCGTTTTACTAGTTAAAACTTCTCTTCTTGCGTTTTGGGGCCATGATATAGGAAACTTCCATTATTTGACTCAAGTCCATATTCCTGTGCATCCAACTTAACTATGCAGTTCCGGGTTACTTACTTTTTCCATATATAAGATTGTTACAATTTTAAGCAGCATCAACAGGACAGCTTTTCAGTGATGAGAAATTTTTAAAAACTGTACTTTTCATTAGTCAGACCCTACCTTAAGTATTGTTTCTAGTTCTGGGCACCACATTTTTTTAAAAAATCAGAGAAATTGAAACAGATATTTCCCCCCAAAACACAATAACAAAACAGGGATGCTCCATGCTCCAGGAACTGGAAACAAAGTCGTATGTGGAGAGTTTTAGGGGACTGGATATATCTGACTGTGAAAAAAGGAAAATAATTAAGTCATGCAGATAATGTCAAGATATATTTTTCTAATTCCAAAGTGCAAGCCATGAATTAACGTTCATAAGTTACAAGAAAGAAAATTGCAGCTGAATTTTCTTAGTTTTCCTAACTTTCTTTCAGAAAAATGTACTCGTGGTAAGACTAGTTCAATCGGGGAGGCAATTACTGAGGGAAATGATGATCTGTTTTTCATCATGCATGTTCAGATGGTAGCTAACAACAATCTGTTAGGGAAGCTTTAATTTGGATAACTATTGTAAAGGAAGTTCTGTAGATTTATATGCTGCTCTTTTGCCTTCCTGGTGATGGTGGGAAGAGTTTTCCACAATGAGGATGCCACAGCACATCCTGCCTCTTTCTGCTAGCATTGTTCTTATAGTCGCTTCTTGCACAATTCACATTTTTACATTTATAATGCTGGCTCCTGCAGTAAATTTTCCCTTTATCAGTTCAGAATGAAGAAAAAACTCTCCTGTATTTTAGTGGAAATTTATCTTGGTTTGTTACCTATAGGATAGCTGGCTATTATTATAAGATGGATTTCATATGACAAATCTCATTAAATGTTACATTTTAAAAAAACTTTAACGTTCACATTTTTCTGATAATTTAAATGCAAATGAGTATGTACATGCAGATAAAATGTTAGTTTTCTAATTGTTTACTGCCTTGGAATTGATTTGGATTAGATAAACCATGCACTGGATTAACAGAGTCTAAATTAGTTTGTTAGACTGAATGACTGTTTACGCCTTTTAGTGGTTTTTTGTTTGTTTTTTGGCATATCACCTTGAGTCTCTGGAAGTGGGTGATCTATAAAAACATACATAAGTTAACAAATAAATGTGCTGGTCAGTTGCATTGTTAGATAAATTAAAGTACTGTGTGTGCGTGCGTGCATGTGTGTGTGTGTAAAATCCAAAGCTAATTTATTTTGATTTATTATAATACTTGCTATTAATAAATTCATTAATTTATTTTGAGATGAGTATCATGTAACATTAATTAAAAATTGAGAAATGTTTATTGTAGTATCCTTATGGTCATCCAAGTATTAGCTTACCGTGATTGCCATTATCAAAGGGGTAACTTGCAACCAGTGCTCCACCATGCAGATTAGCAGAAAGAACAAACATTCCAGAATTTATCCAGTTCATAACTGCTTTAGTCTCTGGCTGGATAATTTGATTATTGGTGGTAAAATGATCAGGAAAATTCCTGTTCAGATCTTTTTTATTAGCATTGTACCTTGAAGAGATAACATTATAATTATATAACTTTTAATATACTTTTTGAGTACGGTATATGAGCTCAGCCATAAGAATTGAATCAGAGGCTAGGCTAATGCTAACAGAATTGTAGGAAATAGTAACAAGCAACAGTACCTGCACTGGCTTTGATGATTAGTCAGGATGGTCTGTTATCAAGTAGATTAGGAAAGAACAATTCCAAGGAAACAGAGCAAAGATGAGTAGATAATAAAATAAGTAAATCTAAGAGCAAAGAGATGACCTGTAAGGAGAGCAAACAAGGCATAAGCCTGTAGGAAGAGTAATAGAAACCTTCATCTCAGAGGAACCCAGGGAAATGCGTGTGTGTGTGTGTGTGTTAATCAAAGGAAAGTTAAAGACCAGCAGAGAAATTTACACTAATCTGGAATGAAAGATGGACATGATTATGGCAGGTATTGATAAAGGATGATATGAGACTGGTTAATTCAGAAAGGCACATACATTTTGAAGAAGTATCTAAAGATGACACAAACATTAGAAGAGGATTGATGAATATTCATTCTTGTGGACCAAGGGCAAGATTACATGAAATTCTAAAACCTCTTTGCAAAAACTCACAAACTATTTATTCCCTTGCCCCCAGCCTGCTTTTGAGTTAATAAAATCTTCCTTGTTACATGTAAAGGTAAGTGGGAAAGACCAGGCTAAATAAAATTTCCTACTCCTGTTCAAGAAACTATAACTTGATTTAATGATATGATAGTTAAGAACAGAGCCTACAAAATTGTTCTGCTATACGTATTGTGTAGCAATACATAATAGCATGTAGCATGTTGAAAACATACCCAAGACATTCCTCACTGTATCCTAGGTTGCTTTTTTCTTACCTGCCAATTGTGGCTGCACACTGAAGCATTGTTGATGCTTCAAAACCATCAGGGTTCATTGAAGGCATGATGTGTATCCGAGTGTGGTTAATGAGTTTTGTGATGACTGGATCATGTTGATCATTGTCCACCAAATATTTAATCAAATGGAGGAGGAGTTCCCGCCCAAGAGCCTATGTAGGGAAGCAGAGGAATAAGTACTCAAATTAAATTGGCAATAAGAGGCAACAAACCAATATTAGTTGGGCAAAAATCACATGATACAGAAGTAAGACAAAACAAACAAATGCAATGGGTAATGTTTTCAACTTACAAATAATCTCCCTGAAAACTGAAGTCAGAAAAAAAAACATGTGCTATCTTATTTACATGAAACGGTTCCTAATATCACATAGCTGTAGCATTTACACTTATATACCGCTTCATAGTGCTTTACAGCCCTCTCTAAGCGGTTTACAGAGTCAGCCTATTACCCCCAACAATCTGGGTCCTCATTTTACCCACCTCTGAAGGCTGGAAGGCTGAGTCAACCTTGAGCCTGCTGAGATATGAACTGTCGAACTGCAGCTAGCAGAGTTGAAGTAGCCTGCAGTACTGCACACTGCGCCACCATGTAGAGAAATAGCACAATGTATGTACCTAATTAATGGATACATATGTATGGACATATGTACAGCATGCATGTATACAAAACAGAATTTATAAAAAATATCAACAATTTATGGCCAAACTAATTAATTAAAGGGTATTCTTCATATAATCATACAAATACATCTTAGATTCATGGATTGTGATAAAGTTTCATTTAACCATGATCAGCCAAAATCAATTGTTAGCCATATACTAAACTACACAAGTAGTCCTCGACTTATGAGTACAATTGAGCACAAAATTTCTGTTGCTAAGAGAGACAGTTGTTAAGTGAATTTTGCCTCATTTTATGGCCTTTCTTGCCATAATTGATAAGTCAATCACTGCAGTGGTTAGTAATATGGTTATTAAATGAATCTGGCTTCCCCATTGACTTTGCTTGGTGAAGGCTGCAAAAAGGGATCACATGACCTGGGACACGGCAACCATAACAAATAAGAAACCAGTTGCCAAGCATCCGAATTTTAATCATGTGACCAGGGGGTTGTTTCAATGATCATAACTGTGAAAAACACTCAGAACTTTTTCCAGTGCCATTATAACTTTGAATAGTCACTAAAGAACTGTTGTAAGTCGAGAACTACCTGTAATTATGGATTACAAACCACAATAGCTGGAATCACAGCGCTTGCCAAACCAAAAACAAACCATGCAATGATTTAGCAACATGTATGATTTCAGCTATTGAAAGAAACAGATTTCATAACAGAAGCCAGCCTGTTTTCCTTAACATCAGCTGTCAATGGGATTCCATGCTTGAAAATGTAACTATGTGCATATTTTACGTTATATTTTTGGTAAAAATAAAGACTATTATTGACATTTAACTACCCATGTTTCTCTGAAAATAATTTTCTTTTGGGCCCCGTCAGGCCTGGGGCTAAGACTGTAACCCGCCCGAATGGTATGAATGTTGTGTTTTTTTAAATTATGTATTGTCTTATATGTTAAAAGTTTGTCTCCCCCCTCCCCTTTTGGTTGTGAGCCGCCCTGAGTCCCCCCAGGGAAAAGGGCGGCATACAAATAAACTTCAAATGAAAAATGAAATGAAAATGAAATAAGCACTAGGACTTATTTTGGGGGGGGTTGTCTTATTCCCCTCCCCCCGAATGGGAGACCCACTTCTGCTTGCTTGCGGCAAGGCAGCAGGCTGCGTGGTATACAAGTGCTGCCACCATGAGGCAGGGAAGGGTGGAGCTGCCCCATGGACCCCGTACCAGCTTACTTAAGGACCCTTGCAGCCAGGCCACCCATGCCCCAACATCTGCCTTGCCTCACGGCAGCAGCTCTAACAACCACGTCCAGCAGGACCCCACATGGCCCCTGGCCCATTTCTTCTGCTTGCTTGCAGCCACAACAAAGCAGGAGGCTGAGCGACACAACAGTGCCACATCCGCAAGGTGAGATAGGGAGTGGACCTGCCCCACCTGCCCCTCACCGGCTTACCTCAGGGCCCCCAAATCCAGGCCATCGATGGCCCAACAGCTGCCTCGCCTCAGCACCACACACCACTCAGCCTTCTGCTCCATAGCAGCCATGAGCAAGCAGAAGTGGGCTGCTGGCCACGTGAGCTCCTGCTGCACATGGCTGTTGATGCTGCCACCACAGGGCAGATGTTGAGGCATGGGTGGCCTGGCTGCAGAGACCCTGAGGTAAGTCAGTGCAGGATTTATATGGCAGTTCCACCATCACCCCACTTTGTGGCCGAGGCACCGCAAGCAACCAGGCAAAATGGGCTGCTGGCCAGCTGTTCAGGCTCTTAAGTAGGTCTTATTTGATGGTGGGGGGTTGGGGCTTATATTAGACACATACATAAAAACACGTTGGGCCTTATTTTTGGGATAAGTCTTATTTTGGGGGCAACAGGGTAGTCATTAAAAGAAATGAGAATATTTTTATTTTCTTCATAGTAATAATTGATAACTTTAAATTTAGTTATTCCTGTAATATCAACCCTCAAACTTGCAAATAGTGAAATCAAGATAGGAGATTATTGTCCAGTGTCCATTTATAAAAGTATTCTAGACCTCTTTATGTGAATAAAATATACAGGTCCTTGCAAGTAGGGCTCAGAATCATTAACTGCCCCACAAGAGACTACAAAATTAAAGAAAAACCTATATTATTTCTTCTGGACCATATTGGGAAAACCAAAACTGCCAGATTCATTGTATCCCAGAATTTATTTATTTTTTCATTAGAATGTTTAAAATCTTGTAAGAGTTTGGATCATGTGTGATTTTGACCATTTTAAGTACTTCTGATAATGATAATCATTTAAATTACTAGGAAGAAAATAATAATAATAAAAGAACATAAGAAAAAAATATAGCCTAAGAAGACAAATAAATATCATGTATTACGATATTATTATTAAAGGCAAGTTCCTATCCACTTAATGCAGTAAAACAAATACAAATTCAATTAAGAAAATCAACAATTAAATCAGGCCAAAATGCATAAATGTATTTATTTATTTATAAAATTTATCGGCCGTCCATTTAAGATAACTACTTAAAATAATACCAAAATGCCTGAATAAATACAAAAGGATAAGTTTCTAGATGAAGCAATTTAGGATTAAAAATTTATTACGGTAAATTTATTTGCATTGTATGGATAGAGAGACCAAGAAAGATAATAAAAAGGCAGAAAAAAACCCAATATATTGTAGTAGTTGAAGATAAGAAAAAAGAATTAAATCGCTAGTAATTTAAAAAGCAACAGGAAATTATTTCGGATCCATATTGAATAGATTGTGGCTTAGATATGGAACACTATTCTGACCAAAAGGACCTTGCTTGAGGGATCTGCACAATTGCTCTGTCTGGTCTAGAAGCCAGATACTCACTTTACTTATTGTCTCCAACCCCTTATCAGTCTACAGCATTGTAACTGTATTTCTCCAGCAATTCTTGAGCCCATTTTGGGTGCAGAGAAACAATGTGGGCTACAAAAGTAGGGCAGAATTGGTAAGAATAGTAATAAAAAAGATTAGAAACCCACCACTGATCTTTGGCCACTGCTGATGTACCAACTACAAGCATCTCTCTGCAAATCCTGAATGTCATGTTATCATTTCCTTGGCTGAACTTCAACCTCCATGTTCTGTCACAGCAACTACCAGTATAGTCCCAAAACATGCAGGCAGGTACACGCTTGACCTAGTCTTTGTTTCAGAGCAGATGAGATATGATCTGAGAATGGAGGAAATTACATGTACCCTTTACCATAATTACATCAGTACTTCAATAAACTGGACATCATGACGACATGGACCTCTGTATCACATTGGGCCCATTTGAATAGTCCGCCTATCAACTCAAGTGGATTGATAGGAATTTCATTCTTTGGATATGACTTCTTGAGGTGTACATATGTTTTGATGTAAGTTGTCTGGATTGCCTTCTGTTGATTCCACTTTAGTTCGTTTCTTTATCATTTTAGAGTTCGGTGGCATCAAAATAGAAACATACAAACAAATAAATAAGTGAATACTTCCCTTTCATCTTGTATTCTGTGATTAATATATTCTTATGTTTTGGGCCTGAATGACTGACTGTGGATATTCATTCTGATCAGTTATTTTCTGAGTTGATGTTTTGTACTCTGTCCAGAGCCTCACAATATAGGAGTAATGCTACAGCAAGAAAAAGGAGGTGAAGCATTGCTTTAGTTTATTCAATCAATACATATGTCTGATCCAATTGTTCCAACTTTTCTCTTTGTCTTTGGGGAAGCAGATAAATACACACCTTTGGAACTGAGACAAGTTTTTTCTTTCATCTTTAGATGTCATTATGTTTCTATTTATAAGTGGGAGAATGGAAAAACTATTTGGCTGTTGTAAGGCAAGGCATAAGGAACAGCAGAGATCCAAAATTGGACTGCCAGTGATCATAGGACCATTTATGTTGTCTCTTTATTGATAAACATTACTGAAAACATATGGCTGGTTTCTAAAATAATTTAAATATTTTTATAATGGCCACAAGGATTAAAACATCAGAAATGTTTTGATTCTTCACCTTACTTTGGAATTCTTATGCTCCCCCCACCCCCGATTATTCTTTACAGATAAGACTATCAGGATCATATAGTTCCACTCAGAATCAATAGAAAAATGCAAATGGCAGAACCAGCAAAAAATAAACTTTTATTTGAATGGTAGCTTTATAAAATTGAACTTTTTTTTAATTTCTTTTTATTTTTTATTTTAACATACATATAATATAATCCAAAGCATATAGATCTTAACAAACATTTTTGAGTGTTCAATAGTATATCAATTATTTGTGCCATTAAGCCTCTTCAATATAAAATTGAACTTATAGTGGGAAAAGATTCTTGGAAATGGTGAAGGGTAATGCTAATAAAATTATATAAAGGACACTGTAATTCTACTTCTAATTATAAACAGTATTAGAATGGTAATCTATTAAGTGACATAAATTTCAACCGACTATTTATGGCTTGTCCTTGTCGCTGAAAGCCATTTGATTTAAATGTGCCTTACTAGATCACGCTCATTAATGATAGCAAAATATAACTCTTTTTACTTCATGAAATTAAGGAAAATACATAGCATTTAGCAGACCTCCCTGTCTTGTATGGTAGCATTTTTATAACTTTGTACAATATTCCGTGGGGGTGGGGTGGGGAATGTTGTCAGTCTTCTTTTTTTTTTTTAAGATAAAAGATTAAACTTTCCCCACACATATATAAATCGAGGTGCTTCCTAAAAAAAGTGCTGTAAGGAAACCACAACTGAAGTTATAGACGTACCTCATTCCCATGCATATTACCAACATACTTGAACTCTGGTATGCCAATCTTATGCTGAGTTGGAGACCTTCCCAGAGCAAGAACCCAGAGGTCTCTACCTTTAAGTGGAAAAGAATTTTACACACACATAGATACAGAATGTATGCACATAGTTGTAAAAAAATAACACAAAAAAACAATGAAGAGCTAAGATAAACTGTCTTATTTTTAATTCATTTGTCATGGCATTGAATAAATGACTTTTAAACATACGTTATTCAGCTGAATTAAAGCCCAATGTTTTCTTTTCCTTTTACTTCAACTAAAACATTATACACACACACACACACACACACACACACACACACACACACACACACACA